TCATGAAATTCAACACAGTGTTATTTACTCAACATTTACATTTTATACATTAAAACGCAACTTACTTTCCAAAGTCCTATAATAGTGAACATAACTCATTAATGAGGAGAAAATCAGAGGTGTATAAAGTACCTGAAAAAAATAAGTAAAAATACCTTCACAGAAAACAACTTTGGTAAAAATTTAAACTGCTCACAGTGGTCAGAAAAGTAAAAGTACTTTAAGAAATGATGTGTTGAATTTACTTAACCAAGATATGTCAACTGGTTCCACTAAACCGAGTTGAGTAAAGGTAAAGTATTTTACTCAGTTCGGTTTAATGGAACCAGTTGACATAACTTGGTTAAGTAATGACAACGCTTCCTTTTTAGGGTGCATAAAAACTCCTTGAGTTCAGTCATTTTTAAATTTGTAACATTTAACGAGGTGTGAAATTTTAAAGTGGAGAAGTAAAAGTATGATTTTTATGTTCTGAATATAACAAACTGCACACCCTCAAAAAATACATTTAAGTACTGTAATGAAGTAACTGTACTTTGTTACTAAATACCTCTGGAGAAAAGAATTTATTACTCTGTGAAACTGGTTAAATGTGTCGTTAAAACAGTTGTTTGGAGAAGCCATTTTTCTCAAGAACCTCATCTGAACAAATCCTGTCATCCTATTATCCAGGGTTCATTTTAAGCCATCCTACTGCTTCGATGTCCAGTGATTATTTTGATTTTCAGTGTTTCTCTGATCTCAGAGAAGACAAATGAAGTGTGCAACCACAGAAGGATGGACAGCTCAAACAGACTGGGAAAAGAGGCTGGGAAAGCAATCTTTAGCCAACTAAAGAAGAAACAGAGTAGAGGAAAGAATGGAAAATATGGTAATATTATTCTTCAGTAGATTAGGTGCCAAAACCTTAGAAACTTTACAACTTAGATGAGAATGAACTCATATTAAATCGAGCTGAACTGTGTTTTGTTTAATGTGAACTTGCAGTAATAAATGAAAAAGATCATGAGTTGCTTCACAGAGCCAAGGGGTCACCTCTGCGTCAGAGAGGGGACGGTGAAGGTGTTGACTAGATGCAAACGAGTCGGCCTCATTGAGAAGCGACGGTAAAGCTGATAACCCACTTTCCGAGCTGCCAGAGAAGACCTCTTTATAAGGGCTTTCTCACCGAGCATCCCCCCCCAAAAATAACCCTCCTCTCTGATTCCTAATCCAACTCAAGCTGCAGGCATGCCAACATGTTTTCCCTCTTTGTGCAGCTCACAGCAAGAAACCTCACTTAATAACACAAACAAATCAGCTCATTTAATTACTTTTCTTTCTTTTTTAAATTTTATGATTATTATTATTATTATTATTTGTGGCTTATTTCACTGGTTCATTTTACTTGTAGGTTCATCTAAGTTCCTCTCTCTACAACCACCAGTGATAAAAGCATTAAATGTTGCTTTGCAGATAACATAACTTAACAACCTCTATTACTGAGATCTATGCTTAAAAAGTATATATAGATGCTTCATCATGTGTTCCTGTTTCATGACATATTTTTTGCAGCTTTATTATTTCTGCTTAGAAGAGTCCATCTTCTCTCGGATGGTGCATCACAAGAGCAACAACACATCATCGTTCACCAATAAAAACAATGTTTACATTACACCTTTAGGGATTTCAGGTGAAAGGCGACCTTTGTTGTTATAAATATGAAACGTTGCTTAATTTATGAGTTACTGACACATTAATATCATCAATCTTGTGTTGACAAGTTTTCTTGACATTCAAGAACCAAAACATAACAAAGTGTGAAGCAACAATTAATCGATTAGAACTGCTTAAAATGTGAATCAAGTCATAAAAATGAAATAATCAATTTCATTGTTATTGTATAACAACAAGTTATGTCTTCAGTTTGATGCTTGATAACTTTTGGTCACAATAGGATTTGTGATATTTTTATTTATGTTGATTCTATTCCTAAGACAACAATTACAATATGATATGAGGACAAAAAAGAAGCATATTTGGTCATAAAATGGCTACAATTCACTTAAAAAGAATAATAAAAATCAAAACTAATCATAATCGTGAACTTAAAATCACTGAACCGGGGCTTAAGTAAATTGTTATACGTATAATAAAATGGTGATTTTATTTTCTTACATAAAAATAAGTATTTGTGCATTTTTAAAACCATGGTTTCAGATCCAAACTGCAGTTTCTGAACTTTATCTGGTCACACTTTATCAAGGAGATTTCAGATTTATGAATTCCTATTGGTTTGATCAGTTCTACCAACCTGGTTGTTTTCACCTGACTGTAAATGTCTAAAAAGCTGCACAGACCCTTAGCACGTTTCTATTTTTAATTGGGAAAACTCTGGCCCTAAACTGCCTCGACAGCTACGGTCCTTCCCTTGTGATCAAGTTAATTCCAGGGTTCCCTTAAAAGCATTTGGCATGGCAGGTTGTTCCAAAAACCTTGGTGAGCAGCCTTTTTCCAAAAGACAAAGCCGCAGCTCTGTAATTACAATTTGCCAATAAACCCCTGTAACCAGTGTGTGACCCAACATCTCTGCTCCACTCGCTCTGAGAGCAGAAAAAAATAAAAAGCTTTGTTTTGTTGAGGTCACAACAGTAAATGTCATTCTTGCCGTCTCTGTCATTCCTCAAGTGGTCGAGCGATAGCTTGAGAAAAAGGGCAGCAATCTTATCAAACACAGGAGGAGAGGCAGGCTGCAGCCATGGCTCCGCAAGAAAACCAACCAACAACACACATTTCTGTTAACAAATCGTTTTGATAACAGGTTAAAATTAATGACACACAATATGGCAGTAATGACATATTTCTGAACACTGTGGTGATATTAAACCCTGTGCCTTCTTCTGTTTTTAGTGGTTTTTTTTTCTCTTTTTCTTAGTAAATTTTTGACATTCTTTAGAAGTGTGTGTCCCAATTGTAAAAGTGCATACATGTTGTTGTTTTTCATCATACAGTTGAGTTACAGATGCTTTTTCAGGATGTATTCAATTGCACACTGCTGACTGGAAAAAGATCAGCATAATGAAGCAAATCACTTGAATGTTTTTAATCCAGGATTCAGTTACTGAGCAACGCTGTCCATAAAAACAAAGACTTTTGGAGAAATGGAATTGGTTATGCCATTTTGATTTATTAGTTAACTTTTAGTCCTCTGTACACACACACACACACACACACACACACACTGTGGAGCATTAGAATTCATGTGTCATGCGGGCGGCAGGATTTGGATGCTCAGGCTCTTTGTCATATCTGAAGTGGATGCTGTGTCAGTCCTGGGAACCCTGGACAAAGATAAAGCTGTTGTCCCTGCAGAGCTCCCACAGCAGTGGAGAGTGCCGGGACCGAACGGGGGGCTGAGGGTGGAGGAGGGGTTCCCAGAAGATGGAACATGAAGTAAAAGCACAGAGAAAGATTCTCACTATCTCTGCATGAGGATTAACTGATATCTGCTCACTGTCCTGCACTCCCACTGGAGCTGCCCTCAAATATTTTAAGAGCAGACTGGACAAACTATGCCTGAAATTGGTTTTGTTTTTTTTAATAATTTCTATTTCAATTTTTATAGGATCATTATTTGTCATGTCTTGGCTTTATATTTTAGCTCACAGTTACATAGCTGTTTTCCACCAGTGTTAAAGCAGGTGTGCACCCTATATCACAGCTGTTATACCACAAAGCAATTTATTGTGGAAGTTTCATAGTGACAACTTAAATAAAAAAATTATAATTTTGCCTTTACCGTCTCAGATGAACAAAGTTGAATTTACATCACATTCTAAAATGTGACATTTTACTTTTTTCTTTTTGTAAAAGTTTTATATTAACAAAACACTTGCTGCTGAAGGTAATTTTATATACAATTTTGCCAGAAAATTACTATTCTTATTTCTATTTTTAATTAATACATGTAAACATCTATACTTTGCAAATCATTATTAGGTCATATTTGCTTCTTTGGACATTTTTCTGCCATCTCCACATGTTCTATTTCATTTTTGAAAAGGTGAAAACAGACCAATTTTTGTCAAATTCAACTGTTGCTGGCTCCAAAAATGTTCAAATATGCACACCAGAGAACTGTATATTTTAAATCAACTATTTTTAAATTGTTAAACAAATACATTAATAAACAATAACTAAGCTGGAATGATCAAATTTAGCCCATCATCTCTCAAACTGCCTGTAACAGGTGTGTAAAAATAGGCAATGGTATCATTAAAATAAATTGAAGTTATTGCCTGTTTTACAGCTTCAGCCTCTGGACAGTGGTGTGTTTTAGAAGAATCGTCTGCTGTGAACTACGATGATGCTCTGGTGGAACGGTTCTTTGTAACTCTGCTGTACCTAACCTCCTAAAAACTGTTTCTTTAGCTATTTATGCAGAAAACAAAGAAATCACGTCTTCGTGAGGTGGGTCTGGGTTTGAAGAAGCTGCAGCTGAGAATAATTTCTACAAGCTTATATGGAAGTCATCAGGAAACAGAGCTGCAAGCAGACACATGGACAGTCTGTTTCTTATCGTGTTGTGCAGCTTGTTCGCCACATTTCTGTACATGTGGTGCTGTTTGGCACCTTTAACGCAGCGATAGAACCGACAACTGGCCTTTGTCAGATGAGCACCAGCTGAACCGCCTGCAGAGAAAAACAAAAAACGTGATCAAGACAGAAAAAAGCGCGCACGTGATGTCTCTCAGATGTGGGATCACCAAAAAAAAAAAAAAAAAAAAAACCTCCAGGTTGGAACATACTGCTGGCAAATGTCTCCAACAAGTAAAATATGTAGTTTATATTTAAATATAAATTGTTTAGAGACTATAGTTCGATTTAACGAGTTTTCTTCAGAATGTATCAGACTGAGCTAATAAACATTAGACCCTGGATGGGGCTGAGTCCATTTTATTTTCTGGTAAATGTAAATTTGAATAAATCTTAGTTCATTTCAATGAAGACAGGACAAGATATTCCTTTAGATCTGTATTCAGCTATCAGTCCATTCAAATAGATATATTTCAGTGTACAAAAACTGTTGAACTTTCAGCAGACTTAAAGAATGCAGTTCAGTGGATCATCTTCAAAGTTCAGAAGCACTAAAAAGAAGTGACATCTCTGAAAATTAAGCCTCAGGTCGTTTGAGAATCAGTCAGACTGTGCAGCTCCCATCATGGTGCATCAGCCTTCTGCAAGTCCTTCATCGGTGTCCTCACAGTTTCTTCCTCATCTTCCCCTTCTTATGGCCGCCGCGTCCGAAGCCCGACTTCTTCACCTCTCCAACCCACTGCTTGTTCTTCGAGCGAATGTTCTTCATCCCTCCTTTCTGACGGAATTGTTGCTTTTGCTGCTGCTTGCGGCGCTTCAAGATCTGCGCGCTGGACTTGAGCTCGGAGCGTACTCTGTGGCCGCCGGGTTTCACCGGTGGTCCTGCAGGACTGCGGGGGTTGGGGCCTCGACGACCACGACCCCGACCTAAGGAGAATCATAAGAGGAAAAAAAATGACATCAGATAAATGAATAAGTGATTTTAAATATCAAAAGATGAATCCCAATAAATAAATTGTTGTAGCAAGTCATTTTTTAGTCATCTTGAAGGAACAGTTTGAGCTGTTAGTTTTATTTACTTTGAAATAGGGTTGGGCAAAATTGAATCAGGTGCAGTTAATGGTCAGAAAAACTTTGACGGCTATTTTTCAGCATTTGATGATTAACAACATATTAAACTCCATCCTAAATGTAAAATCCAAACACACTTAACATCATAAAACTCTCAAATCTCATTGCTCACTCCTGCTCTTGCTGTCTCACCATCACCGCCAAACTTCATTCAACTTTCACATCTTTTTATATTCTTCTTTCTGTAAACTTTTTGCCGCTTGTCAAATATTTTCAGTCATCAGTCAGTAAGGAGTTTGGGGGTCTTATGTTAGTTCGGTGGGGTACGGGTAAGACCAGATGGTGGACTGAGGCATTTTTTTCCCCATGAATCTGCTCGTCTTTCGCTGCAACATACTTCAAACCTGACCTTTTTTTTAAGTGACTAACTTTTTTATTCATTATCTGCTAATCACGACAATTCATCATAATTGTTTTTTTCTATCGCCCAACCCTATTTTGAAATTATTTTATACAAATCTAATACTGTAGGTTCTACAAAATAAAACCTGTGTTTAAGTCCCAATACATAAAGTGTAATAAAGTGTGCTAATCGAACTAGCTTGTAGCCCAAAATTCTGTTTTTGAATGACAAATCTTAGAATGAGTTTAAGTATCTCTTATTATTTTTAAAAAATCCTTTGAAAAGGTTGAATTCCTAAATAAATTATTCGTAAAAACTGAACAATTTTTGTGTGTTTTGAGCTTTGTTGTCGTACCTCCTGCTGACTTCATCCTTCCTCCTCCTGTTTCTCCATCTGATCCAGATTCAGCATCATCAACTTTGTATTTCTTCTTCCACTCCTCATAACTGACCGGCTGTTAAGTGACACAACGGCTCAAGTAAGACAAATCAATTGTAAAACAATCTAACAAAACAAAACAAGCTCATAGACATTTTGCCTGAAGGATACAAGTTCTTCCTGTTCTTGTTGCCGACAGTCTGCCCGCTCTCAGTTTTGATCTTTTTCTTGTCCTCCTTTCCTGATTCTCTCACAAAGCGCTTCTTCTTCCGGTCCCTGCGGTAAAAAGACAAGAAATGACAGAGTGAAACGGTCAAATCAGAGGCCGCGTGTGTAACCGTGAGTTTAAATAATCACCATTTCATTAGTGCTTTGTGCTGATTTAACCGGTCTCCATCATCTCCCATGAGGTCCAGGACAGCTGAGGAGGCTTGCTGTTCAAAATTACCGCCGTCCCCACCAAGACTTAACCTGACGACACAGAACATAATGTTTGTAAAAAAAAATTAATTAATGTAAAAAATAATAATAATTCTTCCGCTTTATAATTCAACTTAAAAGTGTCATGTCTCACCCTCTCTCTGAGTCAAAGTCTTTCGGTCTGTACGGGATAAAATACTCTTCATCTTTGCCCGTTTGCCTGCTTCTCTTGTTTTTAGAACGTTCCTCTCCGTAATCTGTTGGGTTCTTTCTCTTAACACCAACTACCTTGGAGAACACCCCCTGGTGGGAACAAGAAGAATTACATTTTAAAAAATGACCTCATGTACAGTATTAAAAATAAATACAACTGATAAATAAAAATAGCAATGATGACAAACCATCACACGCAGAAAATAAAATCTCACAGATGAAAAAGCTTTTATGGCACATGTAGTAATAAAGATGCCACTTAAGGAATTTTTTAACTTAAAAAAATTAAATCAGACAAAAGGGAAGTAGGACACCTTGAAGGAATGTATATTAACCAACTTTAGGATTAATAAAGTCTTTTTGAACTGAATTGAAAACAAAGCAACTGTTGTTGTGTATGGTTTTCTAGCCACAGGCTAATTTGCAAACCCAGTCCTTGGTTGGCCTTTAAAAAAACAAACAAAAAAACCCCAGCTAAAATAGAATTAAACAACCCCGCACAAACACACATACACTTTCTATAAGTATCAGTAAAATGTAGCTACTGGTTCTTGAGATATTTAGCAAAAACAGAAACATCATCACCTGTCTTTTATATTTGTTAAAACAAACTGATTTCAACTATTAAAAGCAGGAAAAGGTACGAAGGTGCATTTGTTGCTGCAGTGCTCACACATTTGTACACTCGGTTTTATATTGATTTAACCGATGAAACGACTTTAAGGATGTAGCTGAACAATAAAAATAGATTTTAAAGGAGGCCCGAGGGTTTTGGTACTGATCTTTGAGGCAGAAGTTTGTTACCTTCAGATCCTCTTCCTCCTCCTCACCGCCGCTGTACCTCATCTCATAATCAGCAGCCGAGGCGGATCTGACGGAGCGCTGCTGCTTGCTCTCTGCACACAGCTCTTCTCTTTTCTTACTGAATTTGTCTACTAATGGCATGTCTTTAGAGCGTTTGGTCCTCATCACCTCACTTGCAGGTGTTTTATTGCTAGAGTTGATTTCAAAAATAGTCTACATCAAAAGAAGAAACATAGATCATGATTTTTTTAAAGAAAATAACACCTTTATAAGGTTTTTGCTGTTAACTTACTGCTTTGGATTTATAGCCTTTTATGGCATCAACCATTTGAAGACGCTCCAGTTCCTTTTTCTCAAAACCAGAACCTGAAACCAGATCAGATAAACATTATTAATTAGGCTGTCATTCATAATCAAAAATCTAACTTATTTTTCCATAAATATTCTGCCTCAGACTGACCGAGTAATGGATGGACCGCCATGCTGGCCATTTCTGTGTTTTTGACCCGTCTGATGGACTCTGACGAGGGACTGGGTCTGGACTTGAGGTACTGTTTGTAAGCGTTTTCAGAGACACGCTGGAGATTCTCCAAGTCCAGCGAGTTTTCATGAGTCACGATCAGATGAGAGCCTTCATCGTCCAAAATGCTTTGAGGAACTCTACCAAACACACCGCCTGAATCTGGAGGGAAGAAGATGTTGGTTATATTTTTGTTTTTTGTATCATATTATTTAATTTTTGCAGCAACTACCTGGTGTGTGACCAGCTGTAGCAAACTCAACGGGCCTTCCGAGGAACAGGTGGAGATCATAAACAAAAGGCATCTCATCTGGACAAATCATGCTGTACGCCATACCGCTGCGCCCCGCTCGCCCCACACGGCCTGGTGGGAGAAAAGCAGTGAGTCTCCACAATTTTTATTTTTTTTTTTGATTAAGTAAAAAATGAAGTTCAACAAAACCAGTATTTAAAGCACTAACCGACTCTGTGTAAAAAGAGCTTTGCCTTGGAGGGGAAGTTGTAGTTAATAACATTATCCAGCAGGGGGATGTCGATACCACGAGCAGCGACATCGGTCACAATAAGCACCATGGCTTTCCGGTTCACAAATTTCCCAATGTTGATCTTTCTGGCGGTCTGATCCAGGGCACTGTAGATGTAGGCACACTCTATGTTTTCTGTAGACAGCAGCTGGAAAACAGAGACCAGATATTTTATTAATTTTTTTTTCTAACTGCATTAGAGTATTCATACAATTATTCTGCTGCAGCTATCTCACCTCCTTAAGGTACTCGACATGGTGTTTGGTGGCAGCAAAGACCACCGTCTGCTCCTGAGGCTTCACCACGTTCCTCAGCAGATGAAGCAGCAGCGCTGGTTTATCGTCCACGCGAAGGTGAAAGAACGCGAGCTGACAAACCACACAACAGACAAATCAACACTTATGAGAAGAGGGGGAAACAGATGTGCAGAGAACTTTACGTAAGCTTTAGGGTTTGACGAAACATACAAGATATCAAAATAATCATTTCACATTTTGCATGAATAGGTCAGCTTCTTGAAAACAAACACCTTCAAACAAATGAAACTTGCAACAAACCACACAAACAAACTAGATTTGGGGAGAAAATTTCATGCTCAAATAAAGGAGTTGTTTGACCAGAGGTACAGATTAAGGAGTGACATTAAAACATCTTGATGGCCGTTAAACAAAAGTAAAATGTGATCTAAGGCAGTTCTTCTGAACTGCAACTGCTGATCAATGAAGATGTAAAAATAAAGAGAGACATGGACATCATTTGCTATACTGAAAAATCAATGACCATTATTTACTTCAAAACTTACTAATTATACATAAAAACCAATAATATTTTGGAATCATGTTTTTAAAGTTATAACCTTCAATGTTTTGAACTTATAAAATCTGTGCAAGCTGCAATAATATCAGAAAACATGCCAATTTAACTTAACTTTAATAACTGTAAACAAAAGTGATCAAATATCCCAATCAGAGTAAAGAGCACATCTGCAATCAAATATTAAATGCAATCTGTGTATATCTTATCTTTTGTGTAAGTGTAACTTAAGATGTTTTGTTGATTCCACCCCCACACCACTCCTCAAAATATTTTATTTATATTAAAGATGTTCACTACACAGTATAATTACTCCAATCCAAACAGAAACGGCTTATCAAAAAAGCTGTTTACCGTTAAAAAGACATAAAATGCACATAATTACTGTACATATATATTTGACAAAAACATTATCTTGAACCTGAAGTTTGTTGTAATACTCATTGACATTTTAACAACATAGTTTTCACAGAAATGTTTTATATGATTACATCACTCTTGTAACAAGTTACTGTAGGAAAAATACTTCAATTTACTACCAGTTTGGACCTAATAAATAATTTATGTCCTCACTTTACCTTAATCTGGTCACTGAGTTTTGAATCAACATCCAAGCGAATCAGAACAGGTTCTGTCAGGCCTGAAAACAAGGTTCATTTCATTAGCCAGGACCTCAAACATCAACATTGTTTTATTGTTGTCTAACTTTATTCATTTAATTTAAAAAAATTCAAATGTATGTACAATAAAAAATAAAGTAAAAAACAAATATAATGAAAAGGAAAAAAGCAGAGAGAAGAAAAAAATCTTATAAATCTGCCCCTTTTTTCATAAAGTAAAAATCCAAACAATAGTAACCTTTAGTTAACAAAACAAAACACGAACATCAAATTTTTCTAGAACAAATTATATGGTTATATATTATACTGTTTCACATTTTTTCAGCAATCCAACTTTTATCATTCTCTTGAACTTGTACTTTGATTTGGCACTTTTAACATCATTTTCCAGATTATTCCACAATCTCACTCCTTGGATTGAGGTGTACCGTTCGTTCAAACTGGTTCTAAATTTTGGTTTCATGAACATCTCTGTCCCCTTAAGATTATAACAGCTCTCTCTCTCTCTTTGCAAAGTTTTTCTGGATGTTTAAAGGCAATGTGTTTTGGTGAGCATCATTAACATCAACAAATTAAGATTACCGTGATCATTTTAAAAGCTCTGGATTGGTTTAAAGTTCTTCACAATTGAACAAATGCTAAAGAACATTAACAACATGGTACTGAGGGGTGTTTAGATAAGACTGCTGGTCTTACCAGCTCTGGCAAAGTCTACCAACAGTTTGGGAAGAGTAGCAGAGAAGAGCAGAGTCTGTCTGGTGTCGGGAAGTCTACAAATGATTTCCTGAAGCTGCTCGGCAAAACCCATTTCAAACAACCTGTGAGGAGGAACACAAATACGGTCTGACACATGGAAATATCCATTTCAGTTGTGGAATGAAAACATGTTTATTTCTAAACCTATGGGTCTCTGCACTGAAGCTTGATCCAGTACATGCAAAAATTAGAACTCAATTCAAACACCTGCAGGAATAACTTATCTTTACTCAAACTGCTTCAAAAGACTAAAGTAATAATAATTTCCTGCAACATCTCCAAATAATATGATACCAGTCCAAGTCCTCACCTGTCTGCCTCATCAAACACCACGTATTCAACACTGTGCAGCTTCAGATTCATGTCCGTGATGACGTGCATGAGACGACCGGGGGTACCAATGATTCTGAAGGAAGGATCAGGATTTCAGAAATAAGAAGGAGAACAGATGTAAAGAGAGGATCTTATAAAGTAGCACTAAAAAAACACTCACATGTCAGGGTTTTCATGAAGAGCAGCAAACTGATCTTCCATTCTGGGAAAAAATAAAAATAAAAAAATCAGACACTTAAGTGTTACTGGACAGACAGAAAACAACAGGAAGCAGAATGTTACGAGGTGGCACAAACCTGTCTCCACCAAGAATCAAAGCAGTCTTCAGACCGGTGTATTTTCCTAACTAAGACACCACAAAAAAAAACAAAAGCAATATTTTAAAATAATTACATAATTAAAAAGGGATTTAACTAAGAGAAATACTATTTGAAATCTTTAGTAAACATTTGCAAACGTGCCTCTCTTGTGAACTTCATGGTCTGTAGGGCCAACTCTCTGGTGGGGGTCAGGATGAGGGCTCTGGCTCCTGTCTGGGCTTGAGGAGCTTTCAGCTTCTCAAACATGGGCAGCAGAAACGCAGCCGTCTTACCACTGCCTGTCCGAGCCATAGCTACAACATCCTTTCCATCCAGGATCACAGGAACAGTCTGAGGTGGTGGAAAAAACAGAGAGCTCATCATCACAACAATAAGCTCATTAAATTAGAGGACATGAATGTTTATAAAACACGATTTGAAGGAATCCCTGACGTACCTTTCTTTGAATGGGTGTGGGGACTTTGTAGCCTTTTTTCATGATCCCCTTAAAAACTGGATAGCTAAGACCTGAAAACAAACACAAAAAGGTGAAGCTGTGTTTCCCAGAAGTAAACAAGAGACAAACAAGTCGTCTTCTTTAATCTTACCCATAGACTGAAACCCCCCAGACTTCTTCTTCTTCTTGTTTTGAGCTCTGACCATCTCCCTGGTGTCAGGCTCCACATCTGACAGGCAATCTGATGCTGCAGGAAACCGTGACAGCTTCCTCCATGGCTGCGGGAGACAGCAAGAAAATATTAAAACTTGAATATAATTCAAACTTTAGACATTGTGGAAATCTTCACTGATCATGGATAAAAGTAAAAGACATGTCTAAGTTTTTATGTATCAGAAAAGTTTGATATCTTTACTGTCTTCAAATGTAACAAAATACAACTTGACATACAGAAATGGCAACAATAACATAACTTAAGTCAAAATGCAGAAATAGAAAGTAAAAATATAAGTATACCCTTTATTAAGAGGCCAAACTGAATCAACTGCTCCATGACAAGACTGTTACAAACAAGTAAAACAAGAATATAATAATCCCACATGTAGTGGCAAATCTAATTGATAAAATAAATACAATTATTGAGATGTTCAATAGCTCAAAATCAGTTCAATTAAAGTTAGGCTTAAGTGTTGCAAAATAATCACATAAAGGAAACTTCCTCTGAAGCATGTTCATGAAATTGTTTTTCATTTTGTACGTTGCTGATAGTCACATCATGATTGCATGATTATTCAGTATTAAACAGCCATGTCAAGACATTGAAATAAGTTATATTGTTTATAGTATACTTGCAATGAGTAAAGAACAAAATACACGTCAGGGGGCATCCGGATTTGAACCGGAGACCTCTTGATCTGCAGTGAAATGCTCTACCACTGAGCTATACCCCCAGACACAGAGCCCCCCGCTGGTTACAGAGTCAGCCAACACAAGGTTTGTAGTATTATTCATACTATTGTATCGCATACTGTATTACTCGGAGGGGGGAAAAAACGTATCATTTAGTCCTTTTAGTTACTTACAGAATCATCGTTTTTGATTTCCGCAGCTAGCTCGAAATCTCTGCCGTCAGAGTCCGACTGCGGCTCCTGCCTGTTGGCCGCTGTGTGTCTCCTCTTCTTCAGTTTCTTCTTTCTCTGCGCCATCCTGTCTATTTGTTCTCCTCACAGCCCAGAGGTCGATAACGTCACTGTGTCAATTATAAAATGCAAACAATTGAACAGCTTTCTCAACATAAAACAACTCTACTAAGGAGACATGTTGGAAAAAACACGTGTGAGTTTCTACTTCTTTCTCCTATTCTGTTTGTTTGATTGATGCTTTGCGCTTCTACTGCCACCAACTGTTCCGGAGGGGGAATACACCTTCGAACTACAAATATAATAA